CTGAACCCTGCCCCCTTTGTGAAGCACGGAGTCCTCACCACTGGACTGCCGGGGTTCTTCTCTGACAGTAGTTATCCTAACGGTGTGAGGACTCACTCTGGTTTTGATTTGCATTTCTGACTAAGGATCAACATCTTTTCATATGCTTGTTGACCATTTCTATATCAGCTTTGCAGAAATGCCTGTTGAAGTCCTTCCCCCGTTTAAAAAAATAAAAAATGTTATTTTCTAACGGTGGTGTTGAGTTGCAGTTCTTCGTGTATTCTGAATGTTAACCCCTTACAGATGTATATGATTCACACACACTTCATCCCATGCCTTTCGCTCCGTTGTGTCCCTTGGTGGAGTCTCGTTCATGTTTGCTTTTGTTGCCTGTGCTTTTGGCGTCTCATCCAAGAAACCAGTGCCCTGAAGCTCATGCCCTGTTTTCTTCTACGAGTTTGATGCTTTTAGGTTTAGGTCATTTTAACCTTTTGTTTTTGGCTGCTCCATGCCACTTGGCTTGCAGGATCTCAGTTCCCTGAAGAGCTGTTGAGCAGGGGCCACAACAGTGAAAGCCCGGAATCCTCACCACGAGGCCACTAGGGAGCTCGCCCGTTTTAAGAGTACGGTGCAGTGACGTTAAGTACATTCACAGTGTTGTGCAGGCATCATCTCTATTTCCAAAATGTTTTCTTCAACCCAAGCAGAAAATCTGTAACTGTTAAGTAATAACTATCCATTGCTCCCTCCTCTAAGCCCCTAGTAACCTCTGGTCTACTGTCTGTCCCTGTGAATTTGCCTGTTCTGGATATTTCATGTAATTGGAATCGTGCAATATTTATTCTTTTGTGTCTGGCTTATTTCATGTAGCACAGTTTTCAAGGTTCATCCGTGTGTAGCAGGTATTAGGACTTTGTGTGGTTGAAGTCCTCTACTGATAGAAGTCAGGGATGTCTCTTTCATCTTGGTATCTTGCCCTCTTGTTGCTCTTGAATTGGTTAGAATGCTTGCTCTTCATGGGAATTGCCAATTACAGGGGGATGTCCAGATTCCCTCAGATCTTTGAAAACATTGAAACGTTATCAGTGTATGTAACAGTAACCCAGATGACAGTTATCAGCATCATTTCT